TTTTAATAAAACTTCACAGAGACTTTGGATTTCCATTCATTCATTGTTGTACTTTTCTCCCTATCCACCCATCTCCCCCAGTACACTTTTCTCTTTGAAAAGTAAAAGAAAAATTCTTTCATTGTTTTGCGACCCCTCGCCCCAAGTCCACTCCACTGTGCAGCCTTCACTCTGGATTCCTGTCATGACAATAATACATAATCGTATATCCCTTTTAAACAGTTCTCTCCTTCATCTGATTCAATGCAGCATACATAACTTATCTCATCTTTCTCAGTCTCTCCTCAAACCCGATGTCAGTCCCGTTTTACAGCAGTGGCACCATGCACTATTCGTCCTTTTGTGCTGAGATATTTCATTCAGCATAGTGTCCTCCAGGGGCACCCAGTTCGAATAATATTTCATGAGGTCCTTGTTTTTTAAGAATTGAGAGCACGTTGTTTACGTGAGCAGGACACTGGACTGAGGTGCACCCTCCAAGGTCATTCTTGAGCAACTCTTGCTCACCTCTGGTTTTGTCACTGATGGACTTGGTTTGCAAAGAGGGATGCTCAGGCTTAGGGAAAGAGCTAAGTGACTCAAGACAAAAATGGGAGAAGTTCTTCCAAAGCCTTAACACAGGAAAGTCAAGAAGGAACTAGATGGGGAAACTCCTGTATAAGATCACAGTTAAAACAATAAGATGGATACAGCATTGGGGGAGGGGGCGGGAAGGAGGGAAGGAGGGAGTGACGAGCAGAAAAAGAGCGGATCCAGAGTGAATATGACACTGGAATAGGTGAAGGGAAGGACTATCTGAAAGGAATGGCTGACTAGGCATTATATGCACGACCTTAACAATCAGAAGCAGGACAAGCATTACAAAGTGAATTGGGGGAGGGGAGGGAGAAAGGAAAATTTACATCAATTCGTCAATGAAAACCCATACTTCCTGTAAACTTTCAAGAAAATTCAAAAACTTTTAAAAGAAATGTGTAATAAAAAACATACTTTGGGAGAGGAGGGGGCCATGCCCTCAAGATTTGGATGAAGTCTTCTTTGAGACGTCACTACCCTCTCCCATGCTCACAGAATGGCCTGCCAGACACCTTAAGTTCTTTTTCTTCTTATTATTATTAAATTTTATTAATTTTAATGAACATTTACAGAGATTTTGGGTTCCCATTCATTCCTTCTTGCAGCACCTTAAGTTCTTAAGGCTGCAACTGGATTTATTTACTTTTAAACTAAAACTCATTGCTATCAATTCAGAACTAACTCATTGTTGCTCATCCACTGAATTTCCAAGTCTGGGAACCACAAGAGAAGAGTGTCCTTATTTCTCTCACATGGATTTGAACCACCAGAGAGGCAGAGCTTTGGGGTAAGCAGCACCACACCCTATGGACTACACTAGCATAAGGAGAATGGGAATCCCAGAATACTTGATTGTGCTCATGCGAAATCTGTGCTTGAACCAGGAAGCACACTGGCTGATGAACTTACCCAGTGAGCGATTTCTGGCATATCTCCAGCTGCTCCAGCAAGTGTGGGAGCAGCTGCCCCATGGTCTCGTCCCCGACACAGCAGTGCACCACATTAGACATTTCACGCGCCCGGGTCATGATCTTCACCCACGATTTATCTATGCTGGAGAAGCGCTTGGCTTCCTAGAGGAACACGGGAACAGCCAAATCAGGCCTGTGTGACGTCAGGGACAGAGCATCTCACATTTACTGTCACTGCCATTGATTCACGGCAGCCCTACACACGACAGAGGAAACACAGCCCACTCCTGCTCTTCCCCACGACCAGCTGCCCATCACATGGTTTTCACTGGCTGACTCTGGAAACACATCCCCAGGCATTTTGCTCTTGAGCCTGGCACGATGGTGAGGATGGCACACAAGGGAGCAAGTTTACAATGTGTTATCTGTCAGGTCACTGGAAGTGACAACACACAAGCCACCACTGACAGATGGGCAGTGGCTGCACCTGAGGGGCACCTGCCAGCCTGGAGGGCCAGTATGCAAACACAGGCCTGCATGGGAAACCATCCTCTAAAATAAGTGTTCTGACAAGTTCTAACACACCTTCCTTGTAGCATCAAATCTAGTTACAATGACCCTAAAATAGGGAGCTATGGTGGCTGAGTGGTAAGAACCTGCACTGCAATACCAGAGGCAAGTGGTTCAAGTCCACCACCCACTCTGAGGGAGAAAGATGGCCAATCTCCTCCTTTATGATTTACTGCCTCTGAAAACCTACTAGAGGGTCACTAACGGGTAGGTTTTCTACCCAGATACAGAAATATTCTAAGTCAAAAAGCTCATTATTAACACCTACCTTAAATTTTTTTTTGCATCTGTCAAGAAGGAAAAAACAGAACGTATATCCAGACATGAATATAGAAAGAAAAGAGAAATGAGGGTAGAAAGGAAGGAAAGAGAAAGAAGAAAAAGACTGGAGTGGATACATTTCACTGTAAGCAAAAACGGGGGTTAAGGTTCTGCCTTGTTGTTGTTGTTGTTGTTGTTATGTGCCGTCGAGTCACCTGCGACTCATAGCGACCCTATGTACAACAGCCCTAAACCCTGCTCTATCCTGTGCCAATCGCACTGTCTCTGACACTCCCATCCCAATTATCCCAGTCACTGAATCAATCCACCTCATAGAGGGCCTTCCCCTCCTGCGCCATCCCTCTACCCTCCCAAGCATGATGTCCCTCTCTAAGGACCGGTCTCTCCTCACAACATGTCCAAAGTAAGTTAGACGGAGCCTCAGAACCCTTGCCTCCAAGGAGCCACCCGGTTTAACCCTTCCCAGGACAAATCTGTGTGTTTTCCTAGCAGTGCATGGTATTCTCAATACTCTTCTCCAGCACCACAGCTCAAAGGCATCAATTCTCCTTTTATCCTCCTTGGTCATTGTCCAACTTTCTGATGCATAACAGGTGATTGCGAAGACCATGGCCTGTATCAGATGCACCTTAGTCTCCAGAGAGACACCACTGCTCTTCAGCACTTTGGAGAGGTCCCTAACAGCAGACTTTCCCATGGCAATGCGCCTTTTAATTTCCTGGCTGCTGGTGCCAAGACTGTTGACTATGGAGCCAAGCAAACTAAAGCTGTGTACAATCTCAATCTCTTCACCATCCATCCTGATGCTGCCAATTGGTCCAGTGGTGAGAATCTTTGTCTTCTTGACATTGAGCCTCAATGTGGGGTCAAGATTGGTGGACGATTGATCAACAATCTGCGTTATGCAGATGACACAACCCTGCTTGCTGAAACTGAGGAGGACCTGAAGTGCCTGCTGCAGAGTGTCAAGGACTGCAGCCTACAATACGGATTGAGGCTCAATGTCAAGAAGACAAAGATTCTCACCACTGGACCATTGGTTCTGCCATACAATTTATTAATAGACCTGTCTTCTGTGTTAAACTGAAAGCAAACCAAAGAGAAAGTTTTCAAAAGCCTGAAGAAGAAAAATATTCATCATAACCACACTTTGAAAACTAAAATATAAGGTGGAAACATTGCAATTTTGCAAACAATTTAAGGTAATTGAATAAGAATCCTTGAGATTTGATAAAATGGTTCCTTTTTTTCTCCAAGCACTCTCTAGCTATACTAAGTGAGATGATTGCAATTTTATGAGAAAAATATACTTAAGATTTTGAGGTGGCTTTTCTGTTTTGGAGCACCCCCTATTTTTCCCTCCAGTTTCATAACCTTCAATTTTACAGCAAGGATATAATTGTGTATGTTATATATCCTGCGTTATTTTTAGACACTATTAGTGGAAGAACAAATTATCCCACCATTGTCAAGATTACTACTCTATAATTCTACACTGGACCAAGTTCTACCTTCAAATGTTATAAAGAGCATATGAGTTACACAAGCGTCGTATCTTTGCTGTTCTACCCTTCTTTTCCTGCAAACCTCACTCTCTGTAGTTTTGTAGCATTCTTACTCTCTGATTTCTTCTTCCTTCTCTGGTCATGTCCTTGGAAAAACAAGAGTCCTGGGGCATCATGGTTAAAGCCCTCATCTGAAAATCAGAAGGTGAGCAGTTGAAATCCACTTGCCACTCCATGGGAGAAATCAGATGTTAGGCTGCGTCCGTAAAGACCCCTTCACTGGAATCTCTACACGACAACTCTACTCCACAGGGTCCTAGGGGATGTGGCAGTGGGAATGGACTCAAGCCGCGGGCTAGAAGTAGGCTTGGTTTGAAGAACAGCATTATCCACAACAACAGAATGACTGGAGGGTGAGTATCCAGAGGGGCCACCAAGTTGCATTTTTGAAGACGTGCTTAATTACTGGGTATTTTTCTGATATCAAACATGATAACATGATAAAAAAAATCCCAGAACCTTAGGCAGCTGCTTGGCGATATCTCCTCCCACAAAGACAGCTTCTAGGTAAATCCACAAGTTCTGCACTGTCATCCAGTTCTCTATGATGTCTGTAGAGTTAGAAAGCTGTTGCACCCATTTCTGAATCTGGGTCTTGAATGGTGTATTATACCTAAAATGAAAAATACATTTACAAATTTGTATCTCCTGGGTATTTTCAAACAAAGAAAGAAAGTCAAACAGACAAAAAAAAATCCCCAAATCTTAACAGTTCACTTTCTTTCCTTTACAATATTATGTCACTGACTTTCATGATTTAAAGAACTGCTAATTCATCACCATTTGCTGGAAATTGTTAGCCTAGTTTTCCCTCTTTCACTTCACACACAGGTAGAGAGTTACCACTTTAGGATTAGGTCAGCTTTGACTTGATTCCACTCAAATACTAGAGCAACTCTTCCATGTTGCTCCATGTTTTGCTTTTTTTTAAATTATTATTAAATTTTATTAGTTTTAGTGAACATTTACAGAGATTTTGGGTTTTCATTCATTCATTGTTGCACTGTTTT